TGTGTCCGATTAACTTTATTTTTCTTGATTCAATCGCCTACATAATAATTACCTGCGTCTATTAATAGACGCATAATATTATATTCATCGCAAGATTTTACTATGATACATTATTGAACGGCCGGTTATAAATGACCACAAAAATAATTTATGGCCTATTAAATGAGATTATTTTTGCCTCCAGTATTGTGATAACCAAATTAACAATAAATTTATATTTGAAATCCAAATTTTTAAACAATTTAAAAAAATTTTAAAAACCCAACCGTTGATCGGATATAAAAAAATTTTAAACAAAATCGTTTGAAATTCTTTTTTTTTTATCAAAAAAAGAAAATTAAAGTTTAAGTTTATTATCTTTGAAGGGACGAATCACTCTGTGTATTATTTAATTAATTATAATTAGAACACGGAATTATATGCACTTAAAAAGAGCCAAATATAAAAAAAAAATTGCATTATATCATCATTTGTGCTATAAAACTTAATTATTTGATAAAGTATAGTCTATAATATTGACTCAATGACCTGTATTGATCGATCGGCAACGCGTTATGTCTCAGTGTGCAGATATCGAGGTTCGATTCAATACCGCTGAGCTATATAGGTTTCCGTCCTCATATACAAAAATTATGTTTCTGTTAACTATTATGTTTCCTCTTAATTAAAAGTTTAGACTAAAATTTAAGTAAAGAAACGACTAGCTACAATTACATAGTTTATTTCTAAGTAAACAATTTTTAATAATTAATTCTTAGCATTAATAAATCATAACAAAACTTTAGATGAGACGGGTTAAATACTATTCGCGGGTAAATACTATTGCAGCTAACTCCCAAAAACTGATTAATGGCGTCGGAGAGTGCTAGGTGAAAACCACTATTTTCTAGGTGACTATACTGGTCACCGTAAAAAAACAAAATCTAAACATTTTCTAGTTGAGAGACCATTAAATAATATTAAAAAAAGATTATATTATAGACTTAAGATAATTAGCGTAATTATCATGAGAGCTGGGATGGCTACAGCCCCCATAATTAGAGATAGACAAAATGTTCAAGTTACACTTATGTTTAAGGTTTTATAAGAATTTTTCATAATCTCAATATAAATATATATATATATATATATACACACTGCTGGAAATTTTTACGGTTGTATCCACGTTTTCAGTAATGAGCTAATGTTTCGGACTCGTTGCAGAATGGCACGTGGTTGTAACTATTCTGTTGGCTTGTTTACGGTATATTTTTATATCAGTTGATAACTGATAAAATCGATGTTGTTTATCTGTTTTTGTTATTTTCGTGTTGTTGACAACTGTCAGCTTGTTGTTTACATCCGGTTTTTGTTTTAGTTGTTGTTTACGGCATTCTTAGCACTTAGCTTTCTTTTCAACACCGGCAATCGGAAAATGTCCAGAAAATTATAACAGAGACGATGGATGGACTGTTAGCAAGACTTGGTTACCTTTCATACACCAGGCAATAAGAAAATCAACAAATAACAAAGAAAATAACTACAATTAACGTAACAGAAAATTGCCAGTGTAGAATACAAAGAGCTAAATGGCAAGAATGCTGTAAACAACAACAAAAGAAAAAATGGATGTAAACAACAAACTGATACATTCGTCAACAACAGATAAACAACATCAATGTTATCACTTATCAACTGATATAAAAACATACCGTAAACAAGCTAAGCTGACAGTATAGTTGCAACCACGAGCTTGTAACAAACACTCTGCAACGAATCCAAAACCGTCAGCTCTATATATATTTATATCTAAAGATAGATAGTATGAATATGGACATAATTAGAGTTGCAGATAAAATAATTGGTAAAAATAAAATAGAACCGAGAAAGCCATGGATGACTGGACAAATTCTTGAATTGATCGAAAGAAGGAACAGAGATTACAATTTATATAAACAGATAAAAAAGAAGTAACAAAATGCCGTATAGCAAAAGAATGTTGGCTAAATCAAAACATACAAGATGTAGAACGTGATCTACTAAGCAACAATACATATATATTTTTCCAATCGTAGTATCCACGAGTAGTTAAAGCATTTTTATCCGATTGAGATTGTGAAATCGTAAGAGGGAAATGACGACAAAAATAACAAAAAACGGCATTCAGCCTAACTGAATACTTCAATCAAGGGTATTTATTATACGAACTACTATGAAAACAACGTTGTTTACCTGAAATAACTGTAGGAGGAAAACTGATAACTGGTTACACAGCACTTTCGTCGCAATTTGAGCCTATGTCAAATTTAAAAAGTTCATTTGAATTTTTTGTTTTAAATCTAGTTTTTGAAATTTAACTTCTGTGTCTGGTGTACATTGCTCGAAAAAAATTAATTTTTAGCAGATCGTCCGGATCCAAAACATTTTCAGTAGCAGATTTAAATTTAGTCATAGGAACGAAAAACCGTTTCATTTTAGCCTATAGGTTTAAATCTGCACACAAGATTGAAAATGAAAACGTCCGTTCAGTACCATGAATTGCACGAAACTATTTACTAATTAATCTATCTATTTGGGGCATTTACACGGCCGAATTTAAAAATTGCTTTTCTTAATATTAATTTTAGATAAGAAAATTTGTTAATATTATTCGTTTATAATTAACATGCCATTAAGTAATAATGGAACAGTGGAGTGGTAAACAACGCGTGTTTGCTATTGAAATCATGTTACAGAAATAACGACAGTTATGTAGTTGCGCAGCACTAATTTCGTGTACATTTCAACCTTAAACGGCATGATCCATTACTGTCAGCTAAAACTCATATAAATAGTGTTAATCATAATGTCGTTCACTTAATAATATTGACTTTATAGTACACTGATAAACAAATCAATAGGAATTTAGGGACCGATCGAGTGCTGTCAAAGGTAGAGAAACCCCAGGGTAAGGAAAAGGTCGTTAAATTTGTTAGCACCATAAGTGTCATGCAATCTCCCAAAAGATACCTATATTTTTCGATAGGATATTTTGATTCAAAAAGTGATAATACCAAGAAATATAAAACAATTTAATATTTAAATATTTAAAAAAAAAAATCAAATTATATATGATTTGTTCGTTGAGAAAATCTGGGTAACCCCGGCCTACCAGGAACTACCTACTGGCTAGGCCATTGCTATAATAGTGGAAGTCTACCACTGGATTTTGATAGAGAGCTCTTCTTCAACATATACAGGGTGTTCAGTATGTCAGGAAACGGGTTTCTATTGTTCTCATTGTTTGTAACAATGAGAACAATAGATACCCGTTTCCTGACTACTGAACACCCTGTATAAAAATCAAACAACAGAAATAAATGTAAATAGATCGACAAAAGAAGCAAGAATAAGGAGAGGAGTGAGACAAAAATGTCCCTTGTCGCTTTATCTATTCAATATTTTTAATGAAATGAGCATAGATATAAAACCAACGGAGTTAAAATAAATGGTCAACATATACACTGTATTCGCTTTGCAGATAACATTGTTATCTTAATAAAGTCTAAACATGACATGAATAATATGCTAAAAATTCTATCATAGCTTCCATTAACAAATCAACTCCAGACATCAGGAGAAAAATAGAATTGGCAAAACAAGCATTCCAAAACAAGAATCAGCTTCTTACTAATAAACATCTGAGCATTTGTACACGTAAAAGATTCGTTAAAACATTTGTCTGTAGTGTGCTTTCATACGGCAGTGAAACATGGACAATTTACAAAAAAGACAGAAGCATTAGAGTTATGAGTATGGAAAAAAATGATAAAGACAAAATGGATAGACAAGAAAAGAAATGAGCAATTGCTAGAAAAAGTACGAGAAGAAAGACAGCTGATGAAGGTAATTGAATCAAGAAAAATAAAGTTATTTGGACACATCATCCGGCACAATGATTTTATAATGAACATCTTCAAAAGAAAAATAACTGGGAAGAAACCAAGAGGACGCCCAAGGAAACAATATGTTGAAAATATCTTGGAATTAATGAACTGTGCGTCTTTTGTTTCACTGCAGAATTTGACGTCAAACAGAGAAGAGTGGCTTCAATAACAAGGCACTGCCTTTAATAGATGATGATGTCTAAAAATAGGTAGACATACAGTAAAATGTTTAGAAGGCTAGATCACCTAATTCTGATTTAGGTAAGGTGATTAGAAGAGCTTAAATGAAAAACAATATATTTAAAATCTTCATTTAAAGAAATTTATAGCCCTTCAAAGAAGGTATTGCAATATTATAGCATTAGATACAACGGCTTTACATATATTTCTGTATCAACTGAGGAAGCTATAGTTGTATCATTGAAAAACCATAAAATAGCTTTATCGATGAAATAGCTGAACAGCTCCTCAGTCCAATCATTCAAGTAATGGTAACATGAAACCAAATGAGTCCATTTATTTGCTTAGCAGTCTATACATGTTCTTTTCCAGTCATTTAAAAAAATGTTGGCGATTAATCAAAAATAAAAATATTTTTTTTTTACTTTCCTGGTACAGTAACATATCTAATACATATTTGATAAAATAATCGTCTTTCAACGACGTTAAATTATCTGGAATTTTTAATGTACGTTGTTCACTCAATGTGCACAAAACTGTACTGATGTGAATTTTTAATAAAATGAATGAGTTGGCATTACAAATGTTCGGCGACGCGAAAAAGGAAAGTGCAGCATTTGACACGATAACGACGACTGTGATCTCGCCCAATCGGCGTTATCATCGCGTTCGTTTTGTTTGCTGTGCAATAATGTTCTTGATTATTAAATTATTTAATTAATTTCTCATTTAAAATAAATTTGTATTGTTAATAAAAGTATGCACTTAAAAACTATCAGTGTTTTATTTCTTCTCTTATACCAAAGGCTATACCAGAGTTATTTAGTAATATATTATTAATAAACATCTATTATAACAAAATTTATTATGTAAATGAATATAAATTTAGATTTTTCGTGGGTTAAAAAGCGTTATCTAGTTGATTATTCCATTAACTATCTGAGTATTAATATATTTGTATAAAAAAAAATCGATTAATTTAGGCCGATTTTTAAATCGAGCGATATTTTCATCTCGACATATAAAGATAAACTTTTGAAAATCATCCATCACTAATATTGTGTAGGAATGCGTAATCTTGTAAACATATGCATGTGTATGTGGTATTGCAGTCAATGGATAATAGATGGGGCGAAATACATGATCATTTACACGCGTACTTCCACCGCAAGATCGCGCATTCTAGACTAATTTCGCATTTTCTCATTTAATAACCAAGAAACTAAGTATTTGATTTTGGATGATGGATTTTCTTAAAGTAAACTGTGAAAATTAATACAATAATTATTTAAACAAAATTAATTTTTATTATTTATTATTTGAGAAAAACAATATGAATTAATTATTACTCTTAACAATTTTCAAACGTGTGAGACAGCACTTTATATAATGAAGAACATCTTACTTAAAAAAATTCAGCAATAATTAGTTAAATTATAAATAATAATTACTTAAAAGAAATAGTTAATTTACACAACAAAACTGTAATTGGTATGTATGATTCGCCATAGCATGCTCAGATATATGATAGATTTTGTCAAACATTTTTTTACAATAAAACTGAAAATATACACCATATTTTAGACATTAAATTTATTTAAAAAAATTATGTGTAGATGATAAGATAATAATTATTAATTAAAATAAAGGATAAACAAAAAATAAATAAGCAAAAACATACAATAATAACTTTGCTTTTATTTACAAAATATCAGTTAATTTTTAGAATATTATATATAAAGCAGGCTTCAGAAATTTTTTGAATAAAAATGCTGAATGATATTTTATTAGGTATACAATTCAATTAGTTCAAATCATCAAGTTTTCAATTAATAAAGTGTCTTATTTAATCAATTTTATACTATGTTGTTTAATTAACTTTTTTCTAAACAAAATAAAATTTTAATTTTTAAAGATAAATTATCCTTCAATTTAGTAAAAATGATTTAAAAAGAAAAATCATTTATATAAAATATTAAAAAACAAAATTACAAATTAATTTTACCTGAATCATCTAAAGGTGATTGGTTATTTGTTGGCTCTATAGCTTCTTTTATTTGATTACTAGCACCTTTTGGGTCTAAATCAGTTGCACGATTGAAATTCATTAGTGCCAAATGAATATTTCCTAATTTTTTGTGCACCTAAAATTTTTTTTTTATTATATACTAAAATTATAGTACAAATTACAATAACATACTTTGCCGGTTAAAAAGTAGACTAGAGATTCTTGAGGCACAATTTCTTTCAGTTCTTCGAGTTCATAAAGTGCTTCTTGTAGTTTACCGAGTTTTGAATAAATTTGTGCTCGTTGATATTTACACATAGGATGTTTGGGTTCTAATGACAGTGCTATGTGTAATGTATGCAATGCTTGGTCTGGTTTATCCATACTATTTTGTACCTATAAAATAATACTTGTAAAAATTCATAAAATAAAAATTTTCCATAATTTTCTTTGTTAGAATTATACATAATATTAAATTTAAATAATAATCTATTATAATTGTCTCAACATTTATTTAATTTTAAAAATTTCTTAAATAATATAATACTGAACAAATGAGGCAATTTATATTTTTCATAAATTTAAGTTAAAGTAGGAAATTAAACATTTTCTTATAAACTAATGTAAAATAATTAATTCTGAAATAAAGTCATTTTATAAAAATTCAAAACATTTAATTAAAATTAAACTTTATTGTAATGAGAAAAATTGTAATGAAGCTCCTAAAAAATTCTTAAATTTTCACTCACCTCCTTTTTGCTCTAGAAATCTAGATATTAAAATATTGACATATATTTATATCCAGACTTTTAACAATAATCTTTACTTTTTTTTAACCTTTATCCTATAATCTTGATTTCATCGAGTTAACATTTATTTAGTTTTTTCTATTTTTTTGCTGTCAATTTAATTTTGTTATAAATAATAAAAAAATGTAAAGTTTAATGTAATAAATCTTATATTTACTGAAATAAAATAATTAATAAATAAGAAATAAAAATCCTCAATTCAAAAATATTTTGTTTTATTTATCTTATCAAACACTTTATCAAATTATAAACTTTATAAAATTATTGTCATTCTCAATTCTAAAAGTAGATAGTAAGATAAATAACCAAAATATACATAATGAGAGAATACATAAAAATACTTACAACAGCAATATGACACATGATCAATGCACTACTATGATTTATTCTAAGAGCTCTTTTATAATGCATTTCAGCTAATTCAAATCTTTCTTGTTTTTGGTAAATAGCACCGATTCCATACCTTTTAGAATAAAAGTATGTATTTATATATGGAATAGAAAACATTATGCTTATTACCATAATTATAACATTTATACGATGATGTATAATGATAAAAAGAACATAAGCCATATATCACTTTTAGAATACTATTAAAAATGGTAATTTAAACATTAAAAACTTAATCAAATGTTTAAATTATGATAAGAAGTGAGGTGTGAGTTGTTATTTTTATCATGATCCATCACTGTACCACACTTCTTTTCTCATCCAAGTATAAATGTATTTATAACTACTGAAATATTAGTTTGAAAGTTATCAACCATTCATTTTCTTAATTAGATCATTATCTATTATATAAACTAGTTAAATATGTATGTTGCCATTTAAAAAAATTAAGTTGGTACTCTTATAAGGAATGAACTCAAAAAGTAATTAAGTACTTAAAAATTGAAAAATAAATACAGTAGAACCTCATTAATCCGGACCTCATTAGACCGGACTTCGCTTAATCCGGACAGCTGTCTAATATTACAAAAATTACACAGTTTATGCCGTAGACTAAAATAAACATAAAGGCAAGTTCCTCGAATTTCCCATAAGTACATATATTCTTATCTACCGCCATTAAAGTTATCATAAACTATGTATTAGTAATTTATATTTTGGTCATTATTATATATATATACATAATTCTATCCTCATTAAATATGTAATGATTTTGCTGGATCTAATATCATGTTGGAATATATATATATATTATATCATATAGTATTTAGTCTAATATAATATTCTTAAATCTATAATACGGACATGTTTTTTGGTTATTTTGTTTAATCCGGACTTTCATTAAATCGGACAACCTAGAGCCCTTATTAGTCCGGATTAATGAGGTTCTACTCTACTACTTTAATCAACTAAAAAAATGTTTGAAAAGTTATTATTTTAAGAGAACTTTAATAGTTTACAACAAATTAATCACTATATATATATAGGTATCGTTGATGTCTAAATGGCACCACTTCCAAGTTCTGGAGGTGGGTAGTGGTATTATCTAGTATTAACAATGAGTGTTGTATGAGTTGACTTAGATTTGATTTTGTGTCATCTTATTAATTTATGTTTTTTTTTGTAATTTTTCTATGTTTTCTATGTAAATGTGTAGTAATATTATAATTTTCTTAAAGAGGAAAAACTGTGTTAAGTTCCTGCTGTTGTTTGTTGAATTCCCATATATATATATATATAGTCATTTTCAAATGAATACATCCAATCATTAATCAAAAATTTTCCTTTGAATAGTTATAATAAACACAATCTCACCATGATTTATAATGCCTTGGATCTAATTTCACAGCTTTTTGAAAGCATGTTATAGCTTTTTCTAATTCTTCAGTCACTAAATACTCATTTCCTAATAATGCATATGCATAAGGGAAATCTGGATTAACCTAAAAATAAAAATTTGAAAGCAAAATGTAAATGCTAATTTTTGAGAAATTTAACTAACTTGTATTGCTCGTTGAAAATATTTTATTGCTGTTTGATGTTCTTTTTGAAGAGAAAAGCAATTTCCTACAACGCACCAAGTAGATGAAGAATTTCTGTCTAAAGTAGTCATATCTTGAGCTAGAGAAGACAACGCTACTTCTTTTTGCTGATGCCATAAAGCTGTACTATAAAGTTCCATTAATGTATCCCTGTATGGCTCTAATTCTCGAACCACACTAAAATATCTGAATAAAATATTCATACATTTATTTATTTTAATAAAAGTGTAAACTATATTGAAAAAAAATGCTATACTTAATTGATTGTAAATAATCAGACTGTTCACAGTATGCTTTGCCAATCATTGATAATACAAATCCTGTTTTATGTTGCTGTGGTGGTAGATTTTGAAATAATTGAATTGCTTTTTTACAATTGAATTTTGATAGTTGTAAATAAGCAACTCCAATATCTCTTAATAGAGACATAAGGCCTTCTAAAACGTTAGTATCAACATTGAATATTAATTTATTTTTTATGATAATATACATAATAATTATATTTACCAGCAGTTTTCTTTTGTAAGTTAAGTGCTTGTTGTGCCAAAGTAGTAGTTTCCACATCAATTCCTCCACGATCTTTAGGATTACGCTCAGTTATATCAGTAAAAACAGTTTTTTTAGAAACAATTCCTGTTTTTATTTTTCGAGATACCGATTTTGGGCTGGTAAATTTTTTACTTGGACTTTTATTATTTTCCTATGATTTTATAATCAAGAATAAAAATAGTAAAATAACTATAAAATATTTTTTATCTAATAAATATAATATGAATTTAATAACCAGAATAATAATAATTAAAAGCACATAGGGATACCTTTTGAATTTTATGGAGTATTGATTAATACTTTAGTAAAGCTACATTTGGTATTACAATATCGTCGAGTTGATAGGGTAAGTATGATAGGAATTAATAAGATTCAAACCACATTATGACTGGTTTGAGATTCTGTAATAACATTATAGGGAAAAATAAATTCATAGAGATTTTAAGGACTTTTGACAGTTTAAAATTCTTTGAGATTTTTACTTAGTCATTTGTTATGTTTATACAAATTTTTTTATTACATAGCGTATTTTATGATATGTTGAAAACAATTTTTCATTGATATGATAAATTACCTTAACTGAACAACTATTGGTAATTATTCGACTACTTCGTCTTACTACATGTGACATAGGACTTGGAGGAGTAGATACTTGCTGTGTACCTAAATTATTGATATTTCCTGTATTTCCCGATTGACTGAACACAGGTTTAGAGCTCTAATAAATGCAAACACAAAATTTTTTAGATTAAATAACAATAATTAATGTTTATAAAATGTAATATTTAATAGTTAATCTATTGCCTGATCAAAGATTTTTTTTTTTGAAAATAAATAAATGGTAGCCTCTAATAATTTGTTAACAGATTTTCAAGGAAAAGAGCACTAAAATATATAATTAAAAAAAAATCCCTTGTTTAGATACTAGATTTTATACTTATAATAGTAGTATAAATTTCATTAAAATCCGTCAAATGGTTTTTACAGTGGTCATTTAAGAGGGGGTCTAGTTAATATAGCTATAATTTGGTCTATAACAAATTTTTTTTTAAATTTTTGTCAAATAAAGTTAATACATAATAAAATAACTTTCTATTCTTTGCTATTAAGAGTGATTCATAAGGATTATTCTCTTAATTTAGTAGTTATCAGTACAAGAAGATGTTGTTAGTAATAACTTTATTATAATTGATGTAAAAAAAGGCAGTGTATTCATTATATTTTAATGTGATGAAAAGAAATATGTACAAGATGATCAATTTATTGTTTACCATTTAATATCTTTAAATTATAGTAATAAGGAAAAATTTGTTTTGGTAACATATTTTTAAATTTATGTATTTTTAAGTATTATTTTAATTCTATATTCTATGTATTTATAAGGTTATACATTCATTAATTTTTTAAATAAATATTAGTTAAAAATATTTAGCTTAAGTATTAAAAAATGTTATTAACAAAAGTAATGTTAAGTTAAACATTCTAAATCTTAATAGTTGTTTTATAATATAGTTTTAAATACTAAATATTTAAAAAATATTGACTAATTAAATGAGGTAAAATTAACTTGAGTAAGTTTTAAGCTAAATTTTAGGAATAATATTTTTGTATATAACTATAATACTCATAGTATACTTTCATTGATCACTTTGCAGTAGTTGTATTATAAATAACAAAATTACTTTTTAACTATTATTTTGGAAGTTATTAACATGACTGTTTATAGTACTATTTTAACACACTTCAAAAATAATATTAAATTCGTTAATTGTATTGATTGAGCATATTTGTCTAGGATTAAATATTCCTAAATTAGTCTAGCCCTAGTTACAGACCAAATTAAGATAACAGGTTCTAATGAGTTATTAACATACATGTTAACAACCTAACATAAACTTTTGATATAAACTGTAAAAATGAGCATTTAAAGCCCGATACATTGGTAAATAAACTACAAAATGTAAAAAAATATTATATTCATTATTTTGTAAATTAATATGGGAAAGAAATACTAACATTTTAAGATAAAACATACTACTTTTTCCATATCAATAATTAATATAATCTATCTCATCTACATTCTGTTGAAAAGCATCATGAGGCGCATCATAAATTCAGAAAAATATTTAAATATACATCAAATTATACAAAATAAAGAGCTATAATATAGTTTCTTATACTATACAAAAAGATAACAAAATAGATATGAACATACTTTGAAAAACACCTAAATAAAATATTATATTATTTTAAATTAAATTAAATTCTGTCATTTATTTACATAAAATAAATAGAAACTAATTATCAATTTTTTTTAGATAATACTCATAATACTATAAATAATTAGTAATATTTTAAAAACTTACTCTTTTGGAAATAAATTTCTGATCGTTGGTTTCATTTAATGTACCTGAAGGAACTAATACCATAGATTGAGATGACATGTTGCTATCTGGACTTTCTAGTGGGAATACTCCAAAACTAATAAAAGAATTTTAAAATAAGAATACATGAATTTTTATTTCTATTTTTTTTGCAAAAATAAAAAATAAATATTTACCTTGGTGTCAAAGGACTAAATGCATTTTCATTTATCACTTTCACTTTTCTTCCAATAGGTCGAACAAATATAGCTTTTGCATTGTTAATATCAGGTGTAAATGGCTGTATCCCACTAGAGATTGAACTATTACTACTTGGTACTGACATATTTATCATTTTTTGAGCTGGTGTACTACTAAAATTAATAAAATAATACATTATTTACAAACATAAAAATTATCTCATACATTGGATTATTTGAAAATAAAATAAACTTCAGATTTAAGAGTACATAAATACATATCAAAATGTGTCTCAGATGAATATAAATATTTTATTGTTTTAATACTTTCACATCCAAGGTACAAAAAAAATTTTTCATAGGGTTTATCAACAATTCTAGTTTAGTTCTTTTAAACTAGGTGAGATAAAAAACTAGTAAACTTGCCTGTTAAAAGTATTTATTGATTCGTATGACACATTATAAGTTGATAATGGTGTGGAAATGACATGTGAATTTGATCCTAAACATTTGCTAAAATTGTCTAAATTGTCAACCTAAAAATATACGAGTACATAAATGTGAGTTGAACATATCATATAAACCTAAAATTATATACCTTAAAAATTTTAAATGGTTCAGGATCAGGTTTAACTCCTCGATCACATAAGTCTTGAAATGATTGCCATAAAAAAGGATTTAAATAAAGAGCTTTTCGACAAGCTTCAGCAGCTAAATGTGCTCTTTCTGATCGCCACCACACATGACTGATAAGTTGTAAAGCAAAAGGAGCACTATCACCATAACTTGAAACTATAGATTCAATAAATGAAGCACATGATGATGAAGATATTAAGTCACCAACATTTCCTGTTAAAATAGTTTCCGCTTCAGACAACCTAAAATAATAATACTTTCTAATATTATTTACATAAAGATTTTTTTTTTCATGCGACTCCATAAGGTTTTACGACATATCCTATGATATGTCATACATGGATGGACTTGTATTCAAGAATACAAAAGTCGCCGTCCATTGACGGAGTATAGGAAACAAGGTGTAAGTAACTGTAAAGTTCCTGTATAGTTATCAATTCAAGAACCAACAGCAATATCACAGTTCTTAAAAAAGTCCATTGTACACCACACCATGCCCCAATCACATAAAGATAAAAAGAACAGTTAATTTAAGATTTTTGTATATGAAAATAATTATACACAATTTTGTAGTTATGTATTGTCTAACACAAATAAGTAATAGTTGAGAAGTCGTCTGAAAATTTGTTTTTAATCATAACTTTTTTTTGACCAAGGCCTCAGGAAACTACTAGATTTCTAGATATATTCAATATTGCTTAATATATATTGATGTATATATAATAAATAAAATTATATTCATTAGAAAATTTATATATACATATAAAGAATACAGCAAAATAAAAATGGTAGGTAGTATCCATGTCTATAAATGTTTAAGGATAACATAAACAAAGTTATAAATTTCTATTAATTTAATAATAAAACAATAATAAACACTTTATTATCACCAAAGTGAAAATATTTTATACAACTGCTAATGAGCTATCAAATCTAACCATAAAATCAGAAAAAAAAATTGACTTATGTTTTTCTCCTGTACCTTTCATATATTTATTTTAAAAATTTAGAATAAGTTAATCTAATGAGCATTCAAATTTGCCTTAACTTAAAATATTTAAACTTACTTATGAAGATCAATACAACAACGTGCTAATAAGAATTTACATTTTTCAGACACTATTTTCTTTCCACTTAGAATGGTATAAGCTTGTGATGGTTTGCCAGCGCGATAATAACAAGTAGCAAGTAAATAAGTACTTTCATCTGAATCAACTAAAATTATGATAAAAAAATAAAATATAGAATATTTCCATATGAATATACTTTCACAATGTATAATTAAATTTAAATGACAAATATATATATATATATATTTATTTACATTCAGCACAAAGTCGCTCTGCTAGAAATATTGCATCTGAATAAGCATAATGGTTCATACAATGCCAAATTGCAGCCTAGAAAAATAAACCAAACAACATTTAATGTCCATAAAATACAAATAAAATTAGGACAGCTATTTTCCAAACAATATTTGTAATAGGAATATACTCATTTACTCCTCTTTCTATTTTACCTATACTTAACTTTATTTTGTAGAATTTATTATATATCAATTAATTACAACAGAATAAAAAAATAAGATTTACCAATGATATATTTATTCTTCATTAAATATTTTATGCCTTATGTGTTTTTGAAATAAATCCACTATATAAATCAATTAAATGAATTAACAGATATTTTATAATGTTCAAATAACTCAATACTTAAACTCAGAATTATAAGTTTAAGTTTAAATTATTGCCTTTGAGCTAAAAAGTAAGGATTGGGTTATTATATATTAAGTATTATTGATTATATAAAAAATAAGCCCCATAGAACTTGATGATTTTTAAGATAACCATTAAATTTGAAAATTATTTTTGAATTTAGGATTTTAAGTATTTTTAAATTTTATTATTGCACTTTATTATGTTTAATTCAACTGTCAAGAAAATGGTCAAATATAAAAATAAGTGTTTTATGATATGGGACATGTATAAGGTACATCCAGAAAAATGTTCATTGTGATTTATACATTCTTTAAAAAGAAATAATATTATAAGTGTAAAACTGAAAAACATATCCATATAGTCCCGATTCTATGATAGTTTTTTAATTGGGATTTCCCCTAATAACGAGGATCGTAATATTTTTAAATTTTAACACAAATAAATTTAACTAGATACAATTTACGATTTCTAGGCGTATTTTTATCCTCTATAAGTTTAGTGTTCATACTGATAGACAAAAAAACGTAATGAATACAATAGCTTTTTAACTTTCTAACGAAGATAAAAGGTGAAACATTTATAAACAAAATAATTAGGATAATAACTTACTTGAACAGGTTCTTGAATTAACATTTTACAGCCAAATATGTTTATCAAAATTTAAAAAAAAGAATAAGTCAAAAACTAAAAAACATTAAACCAAAAACAAAGAAAATTAAAGTAGTACAATTTTAAATTAAATCTAGATAAAATAGTCAATAAGATTATCGTTAGTTGAACTGTCATATCACGAAACTACACTATTCGTAAAAATTATGTGGTATGTTGAAATATTGTAAAATCTCCTTGCTTTTATTTGTGTTGATAACATAATCATATTATTATGAATTTTCCGCCAAACCGAAATTAATTTTATTGCAATTTGTAAACGTTTAATAATTTCACAAATGCTGTATCAAGTATGAACACGGTCATATAAATTACTGTACATAGAACATATTGCTTAAGGTAAATATGTATAGATATATTTCATTTTATAAACTTTTATGAGGGTATCAACTTTTTCTTTTAAATGGCAACATACATATTTAATTAGCTTATAAAATAAAATATTATCTAATTAAGAAAATGGGTCGATAACTATTGACATAGTCTTTGGAAGTTATTAATATTTTTAAATGATAAAAATAACATAATCCACATCTAACCTCCACTCATTTTATTGATAATAGTTCCGAAATAATGGGTCAAAAGTTGTATCGACCAATTATTTTTTTTTAGCTAGATAGTTTTTTATTTTATAAGATAGTTAAATATGTATATTATTATTAAAAAAAAAAAAAAAGTTGACATCCTTATTAAATATAAAATACGAACTAAAAAAATACTTAATATTTGATAAATCGAGAAATATACCAAAATAAAAATACCATAAAGTATTTTCTTAATATAATTATTATTTAATGAAAGATTGAGTGTCTAATATTAAAAAAATTATCCAGTAGTGCACAAAATCAAATGTGTGTAAAACAAAATTTAATATTCATAACTATTATAATAAATATTACTTTTTTAATTCAACACAAAAAACGGTAGCACAGTGTGGACGTGACATAGTTGGGACACATATAGAATATGTCTGATTAATTAAAATCACTACCATCAGAAACGCATCGATGCAAATCTGTAGGTAATGTTTGATTTTAAAAAACTGTTGGATTATACCAAAAGCAAAATGAACTCTATTTATATTCTAATTACAAGTTTTATGATATATAATAAATAATACATTTAAATTAATTTATCAAATGTTTAATAAATTTATTTAACTTTGACGGCCATTTGCATACAGAAGATAGGTCGTCGGAACAAATTTTTTTTCAACTTATAGTACGCGTAACTAAGCTTTAATGTAACATACGTTTGAAGGACGTAGTATTTCCGAAAAATCGTTGAAAGTTAAGTTGAAAAAGTTAGGCAACGGGTCAAAATTTCAAAAAAAGGATGTCAAATTTAAGGAAAATACCTAAGTTGTATATATGAGTAATAATTATTTTGGTTTGTTAATTTTTGAAAAAGTTTAGCAATTTTAAGAGAAAAACAATATAAAACTGTCAAAATTTACCGATGTTAAAAATTGTGATGTGTTTGAAGATTTTCCCCATTTACTGGAAACGAGGGAATTTTTCAAGGATAATGTCTTCAACTAGATACGATTTGTAATCTTTTGATGTATCGTTAAAAGTAATCTGTTCGGTGAGAGCTGAGGAAAAATGTTTGTTTGCAAAATAAAAAAATTATCCCCTTTGGATTTTATTAAATAGACAATCATCAATTGACGCCACTCAAGAGACACAAACAATTCACACACATTCACACATTCAATGTGACACAAGTCACATTCAGACAAAATACAAGTCCGCAATTGATGAATCAATTATTTTGTAAATTCTAAAAATATTACTTCATTTCATCGAATCCTCGAACCACACTCCCCATTAGGAAATACTAGTTACCTTAGATGGTACAACTTTAATTCGTGTCTGGTGATGTTATTGCTTCAGCCATACAGTTCCATGTCATCTTTTACAACATCAACATAGACTTAATTTGTTTCTTATAAAATATACTTTTAATTTTTGGTGTTACTAAATAGCCAGATCTGTATTTCCCATTAGAAACGGTAAGCAGTTGCTTATTGCTTTCGTTTATTAGGGACCTCAGATTTTTATATCGACCTTTATATATATAGTAAACAATTTTCGATGAATAAAATATAAAATAATAGGCCACAATTTCAATCTTGTGTTAGGTTTCAAAATTCTTGAATCAGGGTGTTTACATAGCAAAAAAAAAAATCAAGTCAACAGAAAATTATCAGGGTTCTAGTACTATGCCTATCGGGCACTCTCGTGTAGGTCCCACACTTAGTAGATAGAGTAGTTTTAATTATCATAACGAAAATATAGGCGAATTATTACACAACTGAAATACTTAATCTGGATAGTATAAATTGGTTATTTTCGACGTACTCAATTAGAATAATCATACTAATAATATTACATCTAGAAGTAGAAATAAAATATTAAATTTGTTATTGTAATCGTATTGTACTCGTTTTTAAAAATTTAAAAGAAATTTTTATTTTTTAAATGATTTGATTGAATTATAAAGCATTTATTGTTTTTAAATTGTATTTATTATCATTAAACTTACTAATTTTTAACACTTTGTTTTAAAATAAAATATGCAATCTGGAAATTTTATAGTTACTATTTACAGTACATTTATCAGAATGGAGACATTGCATAGTTGGGTCCAGATAGATTTAATCTGACAGTGATTAAAATCACTATCATAAGAAACGCTTCGATGCAAATCTGTAGATAGTGTTTAATTTTAAAAAATTGATGGATAATTGCAAAATTAACATCAACTTCTATTAAAATAAAATACAAAACCCATAATTTGAATACAAAAATAGCATATTTTTGAATACGGCAGCCATTTGCGTATAAAAGATAGGTCGTCGGGACAAATTTTTTTTTT